ACTGCTGAATCCTAACAATACTAACATTCCCTTCGGATGTATGCAGCCTTACCCCTGTTTTTTATAACTGAGGCTGTTTCCAGCAGGGTTCGAACCCATGACCACAGGGTCGCAATGGAACAACCTTACCCTTACGTAAACATTTTGACATGAGAGAATGTATTTATTTGATCGAGAATGAATGTATAAGTGGATCATTACTTAAATTTTTTCGTTGTTGTACAATAGGTTTACCATCAATCCATTGCGGCGGTAAGTATCCTGGACTGGCCAAAGGAGAGATTGCTTGTACAAGTTCTTGATGATTCGGATGAAGCGGATATTCAAAACCTCATCAAGGCAGAAGTGCATAAATGGCAACAAAGGGGCGTTCGGATTATATATAGACATAGGCTTATACGCACAGGATACAAGGCGGGGAATCTTAAATCTGCAATGGGTTGCGATTATGTTAAGGATTATGAGTTTGTGGCAATATTTGATGCTGATTTCCAGCCAACACCAGATTTCTTAAAGAAGACAGTACCTTATTTCAAGGTAATATTAGTCCAGAAATTTAAAGTTCATAGTACTGTTGATTTCAGTAGATATAGCAACAGATATTTGAATGTCAAAGAAAACATTTATAGATATTTGTTGTTTTCCTTTTATAAATAAATTAAAATTGAGATTAGGGTAGACCAAACTCTCATGCGTAGTCAAAGAGAACCATCAGACTCATTGAGGATTCGTGATAGAACTTATGTATTACATATCGATTGCAAATTATCGGACTTGAATCCAAGTCACAACATGTGTCAGTTGAAGTTTCAACCATTTGTGTTGACCTCATTTAGTTATAGATAATGGTTAATACAGGAAAAGTATGCTTAAAATGGTTTTATTATGTTTTAGATTGAACATATTAAAGTTAGTTTCTGTACGACAAAATCTTCAGCAACCAATACTATCAGTGAATGTTAGTATTGTTAGGATTATGCTAGGGGTGTGGAATGAATCTCATCCTCTTTATCACTCCACTCCTTTATCCGCCACTCCATCCACCAAACCAACCTTATATCTCCTGTTTTTTTGGAATATTATTGATATTTATAGAAATAGGAATTGGAACAATTTAAATTTGATATTTAGCATTTGAAACTACTTTGAAATTCATCAAATATATTCAGCATCTTATTTTTACAATCTCCAACTCTAAACTACTTTGAATTAGTATTAGTTCTTCCACCATGACATAATTCTCATAATGTTGCAACTGTCTTCGCTTTTTGCAAACTATTCACTGTTCCATCAACACGAGCTGTAATTTTGCTAAATAATTTCAAGATATAACGAGTATCTATGATTAAAACTGAACAAGTACTGGACCAATGTTTGCAATAGTCTAAATAACTATCTAACAAAATTTTCTTATTTTACTTTAATTGAAGGGAAGGGATGATTTGGCATTAGTCCAGGCAAGATGGGCATTTGTAAACAAGGATGAGAACTTGCTTACAAGATTACAGAATATCAATTTATCTTTCCACTTTGAGGTTGAACAACAGGTGAATGGTATCTTCATTAACTTCTTTGGTTTCAATGGAACTGCTGGTGTCTGGAGAATAAAAGCTCTAGAGGAGAGTGGTGGCTGGTTAGAGCGAACAACTGTCGAGGACATGGACATTGCTGTTCGTGCTCATCTATGTGGATGGAAGTTTATTTTTCTCAATGACGTTAAGGTGCTGTATTTCAAATCTTGAGGCTTAATTTTTCAAATGTTAGAGTCTTATATATGTTCACTGTGCTTCTTGCAGTGCCTCTGTGAACTTCCAGAGACATATGAGGCCTATAAAAAACAACAGCACCGCTGGCATTCTGGTCCAATGCAATTGTTTCGTTTGTGTTTTTTTGATGTACTTCGTTCAAAGGTATGCGATTCTTTCTTTGTTTTCTTTTGAGCAGTTCAGTTCTTTCTTAGTTTTCTTTCTAGAGCAGTTCAATTGTCTTGAATCCCAGAGACCGATATGAAATCATTGTTCTGTTATTGTTGCTACTATTTTTATTTTAAGAACGGTATGCGAAGTTTTAATCCTTTTGAGTGTGTTAAAATCAGAACTTGATTCCCGAGGTGTCTTTCAAAAATAATATCCAAGTCTGATGAGATTTGAATAATGGTTGCATAAATTCTCTAAATAAAATACACATGCACATCATGTAATTGCTTGTTGTGATTACTATTAGCATATATTTTCATATGAAGAAGGTTTCAATTTAATGGTATCAAATATTAAATTCATGCTATTAAGCTACATGAATATTTTCTGCTTACTTGCTTAAATGATAATATGAATGTTAACTTATTAGTGAGCTGAGGGAGGGTTAATGGTATTTGTTTCTGTACGTAAATTTGATACATAATGTATTTTGCTTTGTTAATGCATTTTTGCATCAATTGCATAGAGATTAATTCAAATATGTACATTTGCCCTTGTTCAATTTGCTCTCAAACTTGGCTTTAAAATTTAGTTTGTTTATCACTTCCGTCTGCAAACTGCTTAGTGCAGCCTGGCCTCTAGGCAAGTCAATATTATATGCAGTATGTTTTCCAACTTCCCTTGAAAGTCAATTAGATGTTATAGTTTAAAATCCAATACTCTGCAATTTCTGGATTATGAAGCGTATCTGGCTTAATGCCTTGGTCTGAGTATTGCTCGCGGTGACCCTGCACTTAAGCCGGACCGCATCTTGTCTGCCTTCAGGCCAAAGAGTGCTCATAATTGCTCTGTCAATGTAATTTTAAACCAATTAAGTTCCTCCAGCCCCCTTCCATGCCCTTACTTTGAAGATTAAGACCTGCTAAAGCAACCAAATTTGAAGTATGCTGTAACATCATTAGATATTTCTCGTAAAAGTTTTATTGGAATAATGGAATGCAGGTTTAGGGCATTTGTTTGTTATTGTTAGCTTTCCTCATAGATGTACAAACAATGTCATCATAGTTAAAATTTCCAATAGTTTATACATGAAAAAAATGCTTCTACATAAATTTGAATAAATCTTTTTGCAATTGAAATGCTCATATACCCGTATGGGCTTAAACAATTTTGTGTCCATATCTGGCATTGTATGCAATGATAACTGGTTTGTATTTACTTATGATTAAATAATTTGACTTCTAGAATGATATACTATTATGAATTTCTGATTGAATTCCATTTGTACCAGGTTAGTTGGGCAAAGAAGGCTAATTTAATATTCCTTTTCTTCCTCCTGAGGAAGCTTATTCTGCCATTTTATTCGTTCACCCTCTTCTGCATCATTCTTCCATTGACCATGTTCCTTCCAGAAGCTGTGCTCCCAGCCTGGGTTGTTTGTTACATTCCTGGAGTCATGTCTATCCTAGGTGTTCTTCCAGCTCCACGGTCATTTCCATTTATAGTACCATATCTTCTATTCGAGAACACTATGTCAGTAACAAAATTCAATGCAATGATATCTGGGTTATTTCGCTTCGGAAGTTCTTACGAATGGGTGGTTACAAAAAAGTTGGGAAGATCATCGGAGACAGATTTGGTTGCCTTCGAAAAGGAATCTGATCCTCTAATGCGGTCACATAGTCTTCATCGATCTTCCTCAGATTCAGGCATTGAAGAACTAAGCAAACTTGAACTCTCAAAATTAGCTCCAAAGACCAAGAAAAACCGTCTCTACAGGAAAGAACTTGCTCTTGCATTTATTTTGTTAACTGCCTCAGTTAGAAGCTTACTATCTGCTCAAGGAATTCACTTCTACTTCCTATTATTTCAAGGGATAAGTTTTCTGGTCGTTGGTCTTGATTTAATCGGAGAGCAGGTTAGTTAAACTCCAGCTTTTAGTGGACGCAAACCCTCCTCAGATCCTCATTGATTCAAGGTAGAAAGTTCATTATAGCCGAACCTTAAACCTATCTCAAAACATACTGATGTTAAGTCTAAGATGTTCTCAGTGGTTTTGGCTACCATTTTACAGCAAATCAGTCGCTGCTTGGCACCAAATTTGCAGCACTGTTGTTTGCTTTTTGTTGTAAAGACCAGTTGTTTCGGTTCTGAATGGAAAAATGTGTTGACACTTAAAGAAAATAGGTTTCTGACCTGCAAAAACAGTTGCTTGGCTGTCTGAGTTGAAAAGGAGAGATTGTTAGCTTACAACATTTGTTATTCTTTTTCAATATGGATAAACTGTACAATTTCAGAGTTTCATTGTGTTGTTGCTCAAATTGTATTTGTTATCAAGACACTTAGATTTCTGGTAAAGGCCACAGCAAGCGTGTTTTCATCGTTATTCATGAGTTTTTGTGTTTATCTTCATGGAATCCAGGTTGTGAATCAGAGACTTGAAAATCAAATTTCACAATATTTCAAATTCTAATGAATGAAATGTATGCATTATTGTTATAATAAGTAACAGAAAATATAAATGATATTACATAATAACATTTGCAACTAAATGCTATGTAGCCTACTGCTGTTTTGTTCCGTTGCCATTATTGAATTTTATCAATTTTTTCAAATGAATTTAATGATGAATCTATGATTTAAAATAGGTCCTTAAAGGTTTTTAATTGACATGTTTATTGGTTTAAATGAAAATTTGCAAGACAAGAAAACATAAATGTGTGAAATAAATTGAAATGTAAAAAATATACATAAGTAAATTAGAACCAATGTAATAGGTGATACGTTATTATAGAATCTGAATGATGTATTTGCTTACTCTGAGTATGGGTGTATACGGTTGGTTTGGATTGGATCGGGTTTAACCTAATTTGATTTTGAAGTATCAGTTTTCCCTCTTTTTAGTTTGTTATCCAAGCAAGCATGACAAATGTGACTTGTGTCTATATAAGTTAGAATGTAACCCTCTCTTGAAAATTAATCAAAGCAGCTTCTATCTTTATATGCTGTTTTACTGTAAATTTCAATTTGCTTAATATGGTATCATTCGTTCTTCCGATCTAGAACTTTGCTTCTGCCATCGACATGCTGCCTCGGATGGCTCCACCATCAACTGTTGATCCTCTCTTAGATCATACGAGTCCGTTTTTCTTTCACTCCAGCAACGGTTTTTCCTTTTGTATTTGTCCTGCCCGATCTAACTGGTTTGAATTATCATTCATAAGCGAGGTCTATGCGACGTGCTCTAGGTGCCAAAATGAATTTCAAATTCCTTCATGGAACCATCTAGATGTCAACTGGTCCTTTTGATCCTTCCATTCGTGGTTGGAATCGTTGTAACATGTTTATTCATTCATGGATTGTGAAATCGGTTGGCGCATACAATGCAAAATACATCGTGTTCATGTAAAATGCAATTGATTTTGGCTCGACTTTAAGGAACGCTTCTCCCAACATAAAATTTCCGCGCTCAAGCAAGATTCACGAACGGTAACAGAATTTTTCTTTGAACGTAGTTCTTTGGGAATAATTAGAGATTTACATGACAATTCTCACTCGTACTTGTATAGTTAAGTGTGTTTGTGAATCCATGTGCTCTACTAGACGCAACATCAATTTTGCATTCCATGCGTTTCTTGACTTGTATAGTTAAGTTTGCTTGTAAATCCATGTGCTCTACTAGACGCAATCATCAATTTTGCATTCCATGCGTTTCTTGACTGTTTGAATGAAAATTTTGGGTTTGGCAAATCCCATATTCTGTTACTTGATCCCTTACCACCACCATTTAACAAAGTACTCCATCCGGCCATTATTATAAAATAAATATTCTTTTTTAGGTTCATTGAATAATGAATGTATTTGATCTGCATAAAAGATTAAATACGTTTATTATTCAATGAACTTAAAAAAAGAATCTTTACTTATAATAATGATCAGAGTAGTATTTTCTATGATTCTTCAACATAAACGACAAATTATGCCTATGTATTCTGATGATTCCAAAGACTTCATTAATGCCTCTAATTCAAGGAAGTTTAATCTTAAGGGTGGAAATTTTTCCCAAATTTCAAACCTCACATCTATACTCACTGCAATAGAATTGGACATATTATAGAGACCTGCTACAAGAAACATGGTTTGCCTCCTCATTTACAACGTTCTAGTTCATATGTTGATCATGGTGTTGCACATAAAGAGAGATAATTTTATATTGATGGTTCATTTGCAACTCCTGGCCATAAAGGAGCCCCTCATCCTTCGACTCATGACCCATATGAGAAACTCATCAATCTAATTCAAAGATCTGACATCAATCAACAATCTGCAAATGTTGGTTCAAATCATATTCGCTCAATTCAATCATCTGGTCATATATCAGCTGATCACAAAGGTCTACAAATTGTTAAGACTTTACCTTACAATAATTTTTCCTTTCGCAACTTAAATCTTGACTCATGGATAATAGATTCAAGAGCTAGTCACCACAAATGTTCATCACTTCATGAGTTTCATTCATATAGTGAAACCACTCCTATGACTATAAAATCACCTAATAGACGTGACACTAGAACCCAATAAGGAAACCTCTGATCCAAGCATAAACACACATACAGTACACCTACTAGACAGCGCATTATGACACTTTAGGCTAGGCAACATTTCCCATTCTAGAATGTTAAGTCTAAAAACTCAATTTCCCTTTGTTTTTAGTGATCAAAAAGAAGTTTGTGACATAGGAAATCATCATTTACTCATAGTTTGAGTAAAACTTTAAAGCCTCATGACTTGATTCACTTTGACATTTGGGATCCTATTTCAGTGACATCTATTTATAATCATTCTTATTTTTTGATTGTTGTGGATGATAATACTAGATATACATGGATTATTTTGATGAATATTTTAACTGAAGCAAGACAACATATTGTGAACTTTATCAAACATATTGAAATACAACACAACCATTTTGTTAAAATTGTAAGGAGTGATAGTGACCCTAAGTTCATCATGCCATAGTTTTATGCCCTTTAAACCAAACTAGTTTTGTGGAAACTCCATAACAAAATGGGAGAGTTTAAAGGAAGCACTGACACATATTGAATGTTGGCAGAGCTCTCCTATTTCAGTCTAAGTTGCCCAAAAAATTATGTCATATGCAGTATTTCATGTTGTTTATACAATAAACAGAGTTCCTAGTCCTATTCTTCAAAGCAAATCTCCTTTTCTTTTATTGCATTATGAAATACCTAATATGCACTCTTTAAAGGTTTTTAGTGCTTTAGCTTATGCCTCCACTCTTCGGTCCGACAGAACAAAATTTGGTCATGTAGAAAATGCATTTATCTAGGATACAAAATTGGAGTAAATGGTGTTGTCCAGTTTAACATTAACAACAAAAACATTTTCATATCTAGAAACATCACATTTCATGAACATATCTTCCCATACCATGAGAATCACTCAAAAATTCCATGAAACTACCATTCATCAATTGCCATAGATAACATGACTGGACATCCTGATGGTTCTGATAGCACATACTGCACCAGTCTCTCCACTACTCCATACGCCAAGGTACACCAGAAAACACAAATGACCTAGATAATTCTCATAACCTCACCAAAACAGATGGGTCAATAAGACAAAGAAGAGCCCCCACCTTACTTGACAGATTATGTATGTGATGATCAATCTACCTAGTCAGCTGAATCAACCATCTAAGGTACTTCCTTTCATTCCTTCACACAAGATATTTAGTATGTCCATCACATATCACTGAGCCACAACCTTATAAAGAAGCAAGAGATTCAACTTGTTGGTTACATGCTATGAGAGTTGAATAAGAAGCCTTACACAACAATGGTACTTGGATTCTCATTGATCTTACACATAAAGTGAAACCAATTGGAAATAATTGGCTTTACAAGATAAATTATAGGGAAGATGGATCCATTTATAGGTATAAGGAAAGGATTGTGGTTAAGGGTAACAATCAAGTAGAGGGTCTTGATTGCTTTGATACTTTTTCACCAATGGCCAAACCAACCACTATCAGGATCCTTCTTGCCTTAAGAATTTATATTATAATTTCTCGTTAAAAAAACTCAAACCACATATTTCAGCCTAGATATTAAAAACACGTAAATCGTAATGAAATATCAAGGGACATGTTAGTTAGCAGTGACTTCACTAGTTTTCCCACCACCGTAAACATCAAATGAACTTCTACACTAAATAATAACCAGAATCAGCAACGCAGTTTAACAAGTTATAAAAGAAATAAATATTGCATAAAAGATTTGTTGACAAAATTGTAAATTATAAATAACCAAAATAGTTTAACTCAAACAACATACTATTGTCAAAAACATTAAAAGATGCTAAAATGTCTGAAAAGCACAAATCATCTTTGTTGGAAACTAGTCTCAAAACAAATAAAGCAAAATAATAACTTGGAAAGTCATCAAGCTGAAGCACCCTTTCCCTTCTTCTTCTGGAGCTTCTTCATGTAAAATTCCAATTCTCTACCTTCCAAAATGTAGCTGCATAGTCATGAAACAAATGGGGTTAAGAACAGTACAAAAATAAATTGTTCCATAAAACATTTACACCAACACCATTAACAAAATAAGTACCCATCAGCTCTGCCACATTGTCCAGGGCGGGAAGAGATGCAAGCAAGCAGCCTTCCACCACCAAATTGTTCTTCAATATGTGGATCCAATTGGCGATCCTTTTGGCGCTGTTCTAATTTCCTCTGAACATGGCTGCTCTTTTTAACTTCTTCAGTAACAGCTTCAGCCTCCTAAAATTCAAGGCAAAGAAAATATAATCAGAAAACATTAAATAATAATCCAAACAAGTAAATATCAGTAATCTGTAATAATGCAGATTTTCATCAATGACAAAGGACCATTCAAACAAATAATATGTACTAATAAATCTTTTATCATCAAAGACCAATGCCTAAGTTATGAAAAATAAGCTGAAAATATTTTTTTAAACTACCTCGGAGTCTTTCTTGCCAGCAGTTTTCTTTTTCCTTCCAATATCAACACCATAGTGTTGAAGGTACCACTGCTTGAAAGGAGCAGCATCAACCTGGACAATGGCACTCTTCACAAGGGTCTGAGTACGCACCAACTCATTGTTGGAGGCATTGTAAACCACATCAAGTAGACGGGTTTTGCGGGTGACAGTTTCACTTGGCCAGGAAAAGTTACCAGTATCCAACCTCAAAGCTCTCCACTTAACATTTCCACCTCTGACACGAATTCTCCTGATGGTTTTGTTGCTTGAAAGCTTTGTGTGAGCAGCTTGACGACCAAGCTCATACCTAAATGACAACATCAATACAAACCAATTATAATAATACAAATAATAGATTGAGAAATTAAATAGAATGCTACACATGAGATTCACGTAAATAAGTGTACTAGTACTAAGTTGGAAAATCAGTTAACAGTAATTGATGTATCTACTCAAATCTAATTTAATACTAATGGGTATGATTTAGTACAAAAAAAGGGGATCAGAAACATATCATACATACAATGAGTACTACGAGGAAAAAAATAGATTTAACAAGTGACAATGACAGGTTGTCAAATGCAAAAAGAAAAGCTTTGTAAACTTCTAATCAGTGAATATTCATTTCAGAGTAAAACCCTAAAAAACAACACTAAACCTAGATCTAGAATAGAGTCCAGAAAAAGCGAAATAATACTTGAAATTCCCACATCATATTAAACCCTAAAATCAGACATCCATGTCAAATGATGAATTTACACAAAAACAACCAATTACACGATAATATTGAAAATTGTAAAAAAGATCAAGGGAAACCCAAAACCTCAACAGAAAAATCAGGTCCAGTTCGAGAATCAAATCAATTAAACTCTAGTAACTGTAAAAGTGTAAATAGTAAAAAGCTCACTTTCTCTTCTTCCTCCATGCCTTCTTCTTTCCTCCAGTCTCACGCCTCTTGTGCATAGAATCCCTGGAAATACCTGAGATTCGAAACAACATAAAACAACGAACCGCATTAGAGAAATTGAACAACGAATTCCAACAGAGAAATTGAAGAACGAAGTAGTTAATGGCGATTATGAATGAAGATGTGATGAATGAATACCCATGATGAATGATGCTGGTGAAACGAGGCGCAGCCCTCTCTCTCTCTCACTCTAGGTTTTTGTCTCGCTGCCACACTGAGAATGAAGAAGAACCCTAATGTGTCAAATTTATATATATTAGGGTTGGGTTTCTCAACCAGGCCCGATAGGCCCAATTTTCTTTCTTTCTTTATGGATAAATAAAGGCCCAAATTTCTTTTTCTTTTTTTAATGTTGAAAAAAAAAATGTTTTACACCATTCGATCTTTGTTAAAAAAAATTGTAATCGATTAACAAAATTACATACAAATAATCTACCTTATAATTGTTAACATGTGTCCAATTTTTTTTAATAAAAAAAAACACTTTTTTTTTGGTTGTAAAAAATACAATTCACACACTCTTATATTTATTTTAAAAATTGATAAATTGCCATTTGTGATATTATTGTTTTATAAATTTGCATATTGATCGCGTATTTTTTATAAACAAGTCATTAAAATTATTATTTAATGATTTTTTTTAATTAAATTATTTTTTTATTAATTAATTAAATTTGTATTTATATATTTTCTTAGAGGATAAGATGATAGTAACACTCATTTAATAATGAAACATAGAATTCAACACAACAGATAACAAATATATGGAAAACGATAAAATGCAATATATATATATATATATATATATATATATATATATATATATATATATATATATATATATATATATATATATATATATATATATATATATATATATATATATATATATATATATATATATATATATATATATATATATATATATATATATATATATATATATATATATATATATATATATATATATATGCTTAGATAAACATGTGCAAATGAATAAACTGTAAAGCATAAAGATAACACTCAAAGAAAAGAAAAACATGAGCTACGACTCTGGGATGGACCAGCAGTTGGTCAACCTTTCTCCAGTGAAGTTGTCAGCTGAAACAATCGGCGGAACAATCATCGAGGGAAAATTAATAAAGTCGCCATCGAACATTTTTTATCCCAGGAGAAGGGAAAGGTAAATATCGAGTAAACCTGAGAAGAGTGAAATCAAGGTCTTGCGACTAAGAGATACGGGTAAGGGAGTCGATTACGCAAGAGGAAGGTATTACACTAGTGCAGAAATGACTTTTTACATCAGTTTTGGGTCCGATGTAAAGTCAGGTGATATAGTAAATCAGGGACTTTTTACATCGGTTCTGGGACCGATGTAAAAGTCCTTTTTTTACATCGGTTATAATATCAGAACCGATGTAATAACCTGTTATTATGCACATTTTTTAAAAAATTGATCCAGTTTTTTACATTGGTTGGAAGTAATACCCGATGTAAAAAGTACATTTTTTACATCGGTTATAATATATGAACCGATGTAAGAAACAATTATTATGCACATTTTTTTAAAAAATTGATCCAGTTTTTTACATCGGTTGGAAGTAATACCCGATGTAAAAAGTCCCCAGTGACGCGACTTTTTACATCGGTTATTATCTCCAACCGATGTAAAAAGTCCCTTTTTGAAAGTTTTTACATCAGTTTTACTAATAACCGATGTAAAATGTATGAAATTTTTTTGGAATAAATTATTTATTTTCTGGGTTTCCCTATACAAATATAATTTGTACCCATTTTTTCATATTTTTCCAATATCAAACAGACTATATTTATGTCGCTATATAGATTTCATAGCTTTCCAACATCACATATATCACATTTAGGACGATGTTTTCATATTTTTCACAACAAACTTACAAATTGAACAATTGTATTGCAAACTTGTATTGTATTACAACATACAAACTTACAATTACAAATTCTTCACAAAATATAAAACAATATTCAACTATTTATAAGTCTTTTTCAAAACTTACAATTACATAATATTCACAAAATATACATATACTAAAATATTCAACTATTTCTAAGTTTCCAAACTTGAATTACCAATATAAAATCTTCGGTAGACAACACCAAAATCATATTGCCTGACAATAAATAATAACAATTAACATCAGTAAAAAAATCAAGAAACTCAACACATGAGCAAAAACCACATGTATTGTACAAAAACCACAACTTATACAATTCTATAAAACTCACCAAGCTAAACTTAAGTTCCATGTAAGTCAAAGAAACATTTTGCCCAACGAAGTCGCAAATCATACAAATCATCTGGTGTTAATTCTGTTGGGTCATCAAATACCTATAATACATAAATATAACAATATAGAGTTATTTTTTAAAAATTCATATTAAGTCGAAAAACAAAAAGTAAAGAACAAAGTAAAGTTATTTTTAGTACCTGCATCCAATTCTCGGTTATATTAGTAGAGACAATATCCAACATATTTTTCATCACATAGTATCCACAATCATTAGAGTTATGTTGTTGTCTTGTCTACAATTGAATGACATAATTAGTGAATATTTATCGTATATATTTAACTATAGAATTACAATTTACATCACACTTACATTGGGATGAAGCCATGTAGCCTTTTTTCTATTTCCATTTGCCATTTAATGAATCCCAAAAGAACTAATACAGAAAGATATAAACATCACATAACTAAATATACTCGCCAATGAAAAATCACATAACTATTAGTTGTCAATGAAAGTCACATGAAAGATAAACTTACTTTGTAATAATTTTCTTCGTGTTCTGGTCAATTTCCCGATGAAGTGAACAAAATACGACAACTAAATTGTCTCTTGGACACATGACTATTAATTGCCAATGTCTCCTGTACGTGTGTGTGGAAACAGAAAAGTCGCATAAAATATATATGTTATCAAAATCAAAATTAAATAATATAAAACACAATTTCATAAAAATTCTTACCCATGAATTAATGGTAGTAAGTGGCACGCTCTGTTTTCATCACGTAACTTTTCTAGCACGTAATTTTTAACATCTTCTTGAGATTTCGCTACATTATCATTATAAATACACCTAGCAGGGTCCATAAATCCATATAATTCTGAAACGGAATTCTCAAGACAAACACGATGAATATACCTGAATAATTTTAAAATTAACATTAGAATCAAAGTGATGAGAGATATGACATATTAATAGAGATTGACTTTAATAAAACAATAAAATTTACTTACGTGCACCAAATTTGAAGAATAGACACGTCAAGCCAATGACCTAAACCCACCAATAACTCTCTGATACATTTAGCTGAAACATAAAAATTAGAGACACTCGCACAATGACTTAATTGTATTGCCAAATGGTTATCATCCAATTTCAAAACCATGAGTAACAATCTCTGAACATCATCAACTTCCACGTCTTTTGTGCTCTCTTTTGTGCTTCCCTTTGCAGTTGAACAACTTCCTTTTCCGCTTCCATCAATAATTTCCAATTTTTGAATGCATTTAATATCACCTGTGCTTTGTGATAAACCCATAGACTTAAGTGTCTCCATTAATGATTGCTGAAACATCTTACGCTCTTCAACCAACTTTTCTTCAAGTTCAGCTCTAAGTTTTGTTTCCAATATTGCAAGTTGTTCATTTACGTCGATATGTTGACTTTTTCTTCCAAAGTAAGTGCTTTGTTTATGGTGTTTTCCAACACCACGAACACGACCTCCATGCTCAGATGTTCCAATGGCTAATGATAAGATATCGTTACGTCCATCTGGAACAATTGCACCTTTTTCAGCTTCTTGAACAAGAGAATCCTACAAAATGCAAAAACATCAATTAATAAATCACAAATATAATGATACTTTGTAATAATTTTTTGTTGTTTACTTACAATTTTTTGGGCAACCTCTTGTGTAGATTTTGATGTGTATTATCCTCCTTTCTTTTGTCGTGCTCTCTTCCATAACTCATGGCGTGATGGTGGAGATTGACTATCATTATCATCTAATGTGGAATTATCTCTCGATGATGACTTTTCTTTCATAATTTTCTCCTCAAGTAAGTGATACCCTCCACGAGACAATACATGTGGGTATAAATTCTTGGCCACATTATCCTTACCCTTCTGACTTTTTTCCTATTATAAACTCAAACAAATAATTAATCACTAAATATAATAAAAATGTTATGCACACAAAAACATATAACTTCTACTAACCTTAAATTCAGGGGTATCTCGAATCTTGAGAAACTCTTTCCAGGCGTCTTCTGTAATAAAGTTATACTTGACATATGGAGGAGGATCATTTTCTATGGGATGATGAATATATCTATCTGTGAGTTGTGTCTTAAAACCTCTCCATCGCTCTCCCGCATATTTAATCCATTCTTTCTTCAACCTATCATTCTTTGGATCTTTACATTCTGGAATAGTAAAATGAGCCTACAAATGTAGTATATGTCATATGTTGTTAATTAGTATATGATTATAAAATATAATAAAGTATTGTATTTAAAATACCTGAATATCAGTCCAAATAGCATCTTTTACGCCTTCATCTACTTCTTTCCAATCATTTTTCACAATGCTACAATACTGTCGAGCAAGAGATGCTATATAACTCTTGAAATTTGTAGCATTTTTACCAACACCAATACATTCATAGGTTCTTGCATTAAACTCGACCTTTATCTTTTCACCTGTTTGATGAACTTTGTCAATTTGTGTCATTAAAGTGGGACCTCTAACTCTTCTTTTATTGGGGTTTGAATCACCCATGTATCTGTTTACACAAAACAAAAATAATTAGAAAGAATATTAAGCACAAAATAAAAACAATTAGAAATAAAATTAAGCACAAAATAAAAACAATTAGAAAATAAAGTAACGTGGAATTAACTTATACAAAAAATCTTACTAGTCCTCCCATATCCCTTCTTCATGGTCTATGTGAATAGCATGCACATCATCCCCTTCATTTTCTTCAGTGAATGTGGTCACATTTGTTGAGAAAGGATGAGTTTCAGAAATATCAAGGTTCTCATCATGATTTTCGTCACTATCATGGACCTTTCCTTGTAAAACCACTGACC